TATATAGATTAATATGAATATATTGATAGCTATTAATAGCTGAATAGGTTTTAAGGCTATTGCATGGTGAATTCAGACCACTCTGAAAAGTAATCACAACCATCAGAGACCTTGTAAAAGCCCAGTAACTGCAGCAAAACATTGCTTGACCCATGCACAAGAGGAACAAAATACTCCTTGATTAAGTATTAGCTGAAATAATGGAAACAAGTGTGAAGGGGACAGACCAGTAAAGCAAAACTGGAAGGAAAGATACCTTTTAGGGCATAAGCAGTTTCCTTGGAGATTGATTTCAAATGCATAGACTGGATGATAGCTATTATGCGTAGAATAAACATTAAGGTTACCTTTGAAGTCGCGCTTAGCAGCATATTATTGAAAGTTAAGAAGAAAAAAAAATTAATTAGGCATTCAGAATTCTTCCTAGTTTGCAGTAATGTCTACATACATAAAAATGCAAATTAGTCTTCATTTACAGTATTTTAGTTCTTAATTTGAAAAGTGACCATGAAAGAGCAAGTATTTCTTTGCATTCTAATATGAAATTCACGAATAAATAAGCTAATCTTTTTAGCAATGTTAGAATGATAAAGTAATTTAAAAGACAGAATTACGCTTACATCTTTTATGAAAGAAAAGAGATCACCCGGAGCATGACTGTTACAGGGGATGAAGGTATTGCAAAGTAACTGCAATTAATTTGATAATGTATTTTAAGTGTTTAGCTAGTCTGTTTAAGCGAAAATGACCTTAGTATTTTAACATTAAAGATGTGTAAGTGCTTTGCTTAATTACCAGCTTCATTGATCTTGGCCCTGTCTTTGTTGCACAAATCTGTGTGCAAGGGGTTCCTCTGTATAGGCACAAGAAGAAGAGACTTCTGCTGATTATGTGTAAGGTGGATAGTGTCAAGAGTCCTTCACCCTAAATGTAGTGTCAGGGCTTCTGCTGACCTATTTTACTGCTTTTGAAATAACTATTCTTAGTTATGCTAGAAATTAAACAAAGGTGCGGTAGCAAAAATGCAGCTTGTCCTGTGGTGCATCCTTGCCTTTTGAAATTTTTATGGTTGTTGTTCAGTGCCCTCCACACTTCATTGGGAGCCAGACCACTGCAACTCATTGACAACGGTACGTTATTCTGGGCTGAACGCTTTGGGCTCTGTTTTCTGTGGCAGAGAGATGAGTTTCCAACCCTCCAGTTAGGATTCATCAGGCTTGGCATGCTGCTTTGCAGGTACAGAAGTTGGAAGGAATACTTTGAACGTATCCTTTTCAGTGTCTTTTTTTTTTGTTGCAGGTGAGATTATTTCAGCTCTGAGAGATACTGGGCTTCTTAAAAAAACAATCGTTATGTTCACTGCAGATCATGGAGAACTTGCTATGGAACACCGCCAGTTCTATAAAATGAGCATGTATGAAGGAAGTTCCCATGTCCCTCTTTTAGTTATGGGGCCAGGTGTAAAAGAACAGCAGCAAGTACCAAATGTGGTATCTCTCGTGGATATATATCCTACTATGCTCGGTGAGTTAAGTTGTTTCAAATGAAATTTTTTTTTCCCAGTTACTGTTATTATTATGCATTTGTATTATTGTCAGAATTAGGTCTCCACTTTGTGAGGCAATGTAGTAGCACAGCAGGAGGTAACAATTTATCTCTGGAGTGTACACACGAACTTAATACAAAATGTGAAAAATGAATGTAAAAAATAAAGGAGCTGATGGTGTTCCTTATTACTGTACTGTCATTAACACAATTACAGTGAATGATTATTTATAGGATTATTTGTTTAAAAGAGAAGGTGATAAAAAACAATCAGATGTGTTTTAGATGGGAGTAATCCTTGCTAGCCTTCATACCTAACAGTTTACTATAGAAATTACAGTGTAAATGCATCTAGAGATGACATTAAACCTGAAAGGATGGCAGCTTCATTAGCTTATCAAAGGAATGTCCTTTATGAAGGGTCATGTGGAAGAAATATGATAAAGACTTCATGTAGGAAATGTGCAATTGATCTGGTCTGTCATAATAAGATAGGAGAATGGATATCCATTTTTACCTTGGATATGGAAATATTCATTATGGGGCAGAGAATCAAATAAAAAGGACTAATACCAAATTACTTACACACAGATGGAAATTACTTTTAAGAGTGAATTTTTGAACAGTTACCTGTGATAAATCATTCAAGAGATGAATCTTATTGGAACTAAACATTAGGTCAAGTCACTGTTCAAGGGTTTATCTAGGATCTTTTAAGCTACCGATCAGAAAAGTGTTCTTTTCAAGGCAGTCTGTAAAGTTCAGTCTTTAAGAAGTGACACATGTACACTGCATTTGCCTAAGAGAATGTGCAGCAGTAGATAAAACTACTTCCAGCAGTAAAAGCCAGTGAAAAATCTTTTTCTATATTGTTTTAAGTTGATTTTCTAAAAACAGAACAAAAGATATCTATCTGCCTGACTCTTCTCAAAACTTTTGAAGCAGTTATCCAGTTGAAAATAGGGTATAATCTGAGTAGTTTTCCCTTCCGGATTCTGATGTCAAATCTTTTGTGTATATATATATATATATATATATATGTGCAATGTGTATTAGATATGGTCCTTATATAAGTTGTGGTATTATATATAAAGAGTTACAAATCTCCTTTTTTCTTCTTTATGCCCTTTCCCCAAATAACATAATTGATCAGGTGGTTTAACATCCTTCCTTCCTGTTCTCTTCCTCCATTTTTTTTCTTCCCAGAACTTTGTGTTTATAAGTCCTTTCCTTCTGTTCTGGCAGTTCCCCTTTCCTGTAATCTGAATGTCAAAAAAGGCACATACATCAAGATGAATGTGAAAACATGAAGAATCATCTCTGTCATCTATTATCTCTTCAGGCTGCATGCTACTGCTGACTAGTGAGGAAAGAGATTTCAAGTCTTTTTTTGTGATGAATGTAATACCTTTGCTTTGCATTGTCTCAGGGCAATAATCTCTCTTTAAGGCACCATCCAAATACTTTGCTGAATGCTTCCTCCTTTACTGACTTTTAGAATAGGCGCACCTTATAGCAAGTGTGGTACAGATGCTTTGATTCCAGCAGAATCTGTGTGATATGGGTAATTCGGCCAAGGATGCAACAACTGATTCATTTTTGAACAGGATGTAGCATAACCTTTCCTCTAGACAGCAGTGGCTTAGTTGGTGTTGATGGAAGTGACTTCGGTTCTCTTGGAAGAGCAGGAGCTACTGAAGGTGCCAGCCTGGAGCATTCTTTGTATGTGGAGAATGCAATTACTGCAATTAATAGCATTATTGGTTTAGGATGACAGAAGAGAAAGGCCTATACCCCTTTTTCATTTGTTCAAATGTAGTTCAAGTTTTTGTTCAGATGTTTGTTTGAGTTTTTAGCCCACACACTAGAAGCTACTGGGTTTACATGTTACAGGTCCTCCTAGTGCTTAGTCAAATGCCGACCTTTTTATTTACTATAGGAAGAACTACAGATTAATGACAGGATATATGCTGTAGAAACAGAGGAGAAAAAGGAAGATGCGTGCTGATGAAGGAAAACATCACCTATGGGCAATCTGAATGCACTGAGTATCACCACTTGGTGTAGAACAGAAGATAAAATACTACCACAGTGCTCTGTGAAATGGAAAGTGTTGAATTTTGAGTGACTGTATGCTATGTTCAGTAGGGTGATTAAAAATAGCAGTACTGTCATTCCCTGGTTTTAGGGCATGCTGAAGTTTAGATAACATCCTTGGGATTCTCAACTATGTTTTTCAGAATGTCTCTGAGAGATCTTTGCAGCTTCCTAATACTGACCTGATCTTTGGGAGCTAGAGACACTTGTGATGTAAGTTGATACTGAGGAGCTTATTCAAGTTACAGCATCTTCTAGGGGCCATCTCGTAGGCTATAGAATCATCCAGTGTTTTCCATATGTGCACTGTATTGGGACCACCTCTGATACCATCTTTACCTCCGGCCCTACCAGAGGAACAGGTGTTCCTCAGTTTCCCCACAAGATATAGGTGCTAACCGTAACAGCCACCTTTATAAAGTGTTTTGTTATTCACTGATGAAGAATGCTAGATAGGAATTTAGCACCATTATTGAAGAAATGAATGGTTAGACCATCTTGGAGCTTTTAGGGTCCTTTCATGCTATCACAATCTCTCCCTCTTGCCTGAGGCAGTCAGAGCAGAAGGGAAGGCTATAAAACCATGATTTAAAAATTGAAAAAGCACCACCGTGATTGGTTTCAATATCTGTTAAAGACTGACTTAGGCATAGCTGTCACTGCTTCTGATCAAGATGGTGGACAGCTGATGTTGAGAAGTTCCCTAAGGATGTTGGTTTTTATTGTTCTCATATTTTTGGGTTCCGGTGTTACAGAGGGAGAATTATTGGGAATGCATGTTTTATTATTTTAATAGCATTTATGTTCAGACACCTGTAACATTACATTAGCCTTTTTTAATCACAGCGCCTGCAGTAGCATTTTGACTTTGTGTATCTTTGCTTAGATATAGCAAGAATTCCCATCCCGCAGAACCTCAGTGGATATTCTCTTATACCGCTGCTGCGTGGAAAGGCTGAAAACGAAGTGTCATCCAAAGGGCCTCGGCCTTCGTGGGTGTTGAGCGAGTTCCACGGATGCAATGTGAATTCTTCCACATACATGCTTCGAACTGGCAAATGGAAATATATCACGTACTCAGATGGCCGTTCAGTACTTCCACAACTGTTTGGTATGTTACAACTGTTATGTCCTAACTGACTGATTAATTTACTTAAATGCAAATTGACTCTTAACTGACTTTTTGTTTCTTCCAGACCTTTCTGATGATCCAGATGAGCTAACAAATGTTGCCATAAAATTCCCAGTAATTGTACATTCCTTGGACAAAATACTCCGCTCTATAGTAAATTACCCAAAGGTTTCTTCTTCTGTTCAGAGGTACAACAAAAACCAATTTATGAGTTGGAAACAAAGTTTAGGTCAGAATTACTCAGATGTTATTGCCAACCTTAGGTGGCATCAAGACTGGTTAAAGGAACCCAAAAAATATGAGAATGCAATTGAAAAGTGGCTAGGTAAAACTGAGTAAATAAAAACAACCTAGATTTAATATGACTGAGGATAGAAAAACATTCTGCATTTGTAATAGTATGCTGTATTTCAAGTGTTAGAATTTCTGTCTTATGTAAGCTGAAAGACTTATATAAAGCAAAGATGCCCGAACAATTACCCTGTTGTGTTAGAAAGCCAGAAGTGTTTTATATAACTGGTCAGCACAACAAATCTAGGTTTTTACATGTTATAACTCTGTAACACATAAGTATACATAGGAAGGATAGTACATAAGTACTAATGGCGTGTATGGAATATTTAGCTGGCTGGAAAAATGCAGAGCATTAAGCATTCGAACTCGACAGGAATTTCTATTTCTAAGGGCAGACTAAAGCAAGGATTACAGAATTTTGTGTAGGGTAGTGAAATGTGCTGGAGCCCACTTTCCATGAAGACAGATTTTAAGTCCACAATGAATACATATCATACACTTTAGAGAAGCTGTAGCAGTAAAAATACAGTCAAAAAGTTAATTCAAGTACTTAGTATGACAGCATTCCCGGTTTATATGTGATTGATGCCATCTTTTCAAGATCTTTCTTCTAACCTCTCACTTCTGGATCTGGTACTTATCACTCCTTGCTGTTTAAAATTTCAAAATAGGCATAGGCTATTAATTGAACGTGTGTGCAAGTGAAGAGGAACCTGGTCTCTGGTCATTGTTGGAATTTAAAGAAAAGAACAAACCCAAACCAAAACAAACCCCTGACCAAACCTGTGAGTAGAGTCGTTCTCTGAAACGTGATAGTGTGATTTGCATAGCGTAAGATGAAAACTGCTTGAATAGATCTCGGTTATGCACTTAGATTGTGCAGGTAAATGTTTTAATGTGCATCAATGAGTGGAGAAACGGAACCTGAAATGTATACAGAGGAGATGCAATTGAAGCTTGCAGAAAAACTTAACATAAAAATACTATTTCATATTTTTCCTGGAATATGACAAAAAAACCAAAGCAGTTTTGGAAGAAGTTAAGATTTATCTAGTAACTCTTAACTTCTACTTAAGGAAAAATGTAAATGTAGCAATACTTACATTTGCTTATTCCTGATCACAGTTGTTGCTGCTATAGTAACAATTCAGGGTGACATTATACTTCATACCTAAATGCTTTCTGGAATCTGTAATGAAATACGCAGCAGTAGCAGTAAGCTAGTAAAAACAAACACAAAAATTACATGTATTTTCTAATGGCTAAGCACTCTAGATGCATTTGGTAAACTATTTAACACACTAGAGTTAGGTACATATTTATGAATATTTTAGCTGTTTTATATGTTTGTGTTCATAGAACCTTATACTGCTTACTGCTATGGTAGCGTGTTTTGGGGTTTTTTTTGGTAGGCAAGGAGCAAATTAATAGTCCAACTTTCAAATGCTGTAGCACCTGTAATTGTAATTCTTGCTAAAATGAGTTCAGATAGTGATGAAATCATTTCAACCAAGAATACGTCTTAGCAGTGTAATGTACACTGGCTGCATAAGTAGAGAAAAATAAATATATCCATTTGAAGGCTCATTCAATAGGGAAAAAAAAAAATAAATTGATCATTTCCCAGAGGTCTGGACAGAACGCAGTATGTTGTACAGAATATAGTAAAATAAAATGGTAAACTGGATGTGGTGTGTCTGTGCTTTTTTTTTTAAATGACTGAATGCTTAAAGAAATTACTAGGGAAAGTTGTATTCTGTCAATGTCTGTCTTTAAAGACACAAGATTTTACGATTAAATTCTTCATAAGTGTTAGGCTTACAAAAGTACAGTTTGTGAGACTCTGTGAAATGGAAAAGCAAACTTCTTGCCCTAATTCCTCGCAACAGCTTGTTGTGTCGCAAGCTGCCCAAAGAAGCCCGGTGCACAGAGGCAGGTTTCCAGATCATGCAGCAAACCCCAGGAACGCGCCAGCTCGCAAGGTAGAGCACCAGTGGCGGGAGGTGGGGACGCTCCCTCGGAGGGTGATGCTGTGGCATGTGAGCCAGCCAGTGGCAGATTGTGATCACATCCTAAGTCGGTATGTCTAGTGTACCAGTTCTTCTTGCGTCTTGTCTTCTTAAAATGCTTATTTAAAAAGAAAACACTGACTTGTTTGTTAAAAGCAAAACTTTGACTTTTGCAAGTTGTTTATTATTTGTGTATGAACCTTTGTTCTGAAGAGTTAGAAAGAAAGAAGGCAAAAAAACCCCTAATGCCTTCCTGCCTCCATGTGCCATAACAGTCTGTGTTGGTACAGAACTGAGCTAGCTTAAGTCCAAAGCATTTAACAATGTGGTCGTATTCAGTTACTCTGGCTTAGTTATGCTAATGTATCTGCATCATTGTAACACAAATCAAATGAGGTTTGCAACATGCAAGGCTGGCCATCTGACAAAAGAAAACACCTGATTTTTGGTCACGTTGAACGATTTACACGGTATTAACACTGGAGAGACGCTGGAGTGAAAGGGAGAAGGAAGCGTGGAGCGCCATTGGGTTCAAATTATTCGCTAGAGGCAGCCAGGTCAGCGCAGGCTCGTGAGATTTACCCAAGACTAGCAGGGGCATTGGCCTGATCAGCTTCTGCACTGTTCTTTTGTACAAAGGCAGGAGACATACCGCTGTCCTGATGAACACAAATGGGCATTCTATGTGTCAATACAAGGTCCTCCTGGTCGCTGGAGAGGTAAGACTGCCACTGTCAACGTGACAACAAATCACATGGAAGTAATCATCCGCCACCTTTGTCAGGAGAACCCGCCTGGTTGGTAAGAAAAAAATTTGGGAGAAGTCTAGACTTTGAATGCACTTGGGCAACAGCCTATCTGAGCTTATTTCAAGCAAGCTATGGACATGCAGCCTAGATAAAATTGCTGTGAGTTGGGTTCACAAATGGCTAAAATCAAACTCGGTAGTAGATACCAAAAATTAAAAAGTGGAAAGGCTGATCAAATAAGGTCTGCAAGAAATTGATGTAGTACTGTTTGGTACTTTTTTAATAAGTAATTTCAGTGCAGGAGTAGGCACTTCTTTCTTATTAAACATGAGAAAATGCACCCTGGGAGAGCTATTGGCACTTCTGAGGATAGGCTAAAATTCAAAGTAGTCTTAATTAGCTGGAAAAAATCATATGAAATCAATCAGATAAAATTCATCATGGATTAGTTAAAGGTCAAAATAAAAAGGGGACAAATATTAAAACAGTGAACAACAAACTGTCTAGGCTGCAGTTTTGCAGAAGAAGAAAAAGCCCCACATGCCTGGAGATGTTAAAGAACCAGAAGCAAGAGTATGAATCAACAGCATGATGTGGTGACGGAGAGAACAAGTGACGTTCCAGGGTGATTAAAGGAGTGTGGTACGTAAGACACAAGGGGCAATTATTTTATTAACACTAGTGAATCCTCGGGGTATTGTGTTTGCTTCATGGCTTTGATTTTTAAGGACGTAAACAGACAAGTTGGATTCAGAGGGAAATAATATAAATAAGGGGTTTGTGAATCATATTAGGTTTATTTCAGCTGTCAGAAACCTCGACAAGTCCTCAACTGTGAATAAGGCTCATGTGAGAACATGGCAAATGCTGCCCCTGAGAGTGGAAAAAGAAAAATCCGTGTTTTTCAGGCAGGGCTGTTCTGATGAGCTATTCGGAAAGAAAAAAAGACTTGCAAATTGTTTTAATACAGCCTGTCAAAAGAAGCTATTTAAACTCTGCCACTGGAATTTATTAAAAATAAATTGAAAATACTTGTCAAGAATGGCCAAGGTAAGTGTGATCCTGCAGTAGATCAGGGAGCTGCAGCAAGGGCCCCTGGGATGCTCCTTGCAACCCCTTTCTGCCTGCTGGGTGGGGATTTAGGCTTCACCACTATTTATTTCTTAGTGAACAAAGTTCCTTCCCATTTGCACAGCACAGTTTCAGCTCCACTCACTTTTATAATAACCCTTTATCAGCAGCAGTAATTATGAGTAGACATGAATTACTGTAATGAGGTTCCGTTAAAACATCACACGAGATCACTTTTCAGAGTGGTGGTGACTTCTCAGAAGAGTCACTTTAAACCTAACTTCCTCAGAGGCAGCTTGTTGAGATTGAGATGCAACATCTGCCTGTCAGGCAGCATCTGGTACCTTTACAGGTGACCTCGGCACGACACGGGCACCCACAAAGAGGCAGTTTTGGTACAAGACAAGCTATCTATAGAAAAGAGCGAGGCGTAGAGAAATGGGTATTGGATAGGTTGGTGAAAGCCAGACAGAGCGCCAGATAGAGAGCATGGATTTAATTAGCCTCAAGTCCTGTGTCAGTGAAGGAGTGCTGACTTGTTACTCAAAATAAGCAAGGAAAAAGCTCTGCTGAAGAGCCAGCAAGACCCTGCACAAGTAGTAGCCTTGCCCTGAGCTGACCTTGCTCGCTCCCTGCCTGCGTAGCATTAGTGAGAGCCTGAATGCAGGCTGTAAGAACTGCAAAGCCCCACCTGGCAGTTTCTCTTGAAAACAGATGTTGCTGTTGAACTGCTGTGCAGCCGCTGAAACCCGCGCAGCCAGCCACGCTGTTTCCCACGCTGTTTTACCTGCGCAGGAACTACAGCAAGGGTCTTGGGGGGAGAAACAGCTTCACGCAATCGCAGCGTGAACACACTGTGTTCAGCATCTCGGACTCCTCGAGGGTGTCAGCTGGACTGGGAATCTACCGTGGCAACCGGATGCGGGGACACAGGTGTACTTGCCGCTCCATCAGGTATCAGCGAGGTCTCCCCCGGGTCCAGCTACAGCATCTAGCACGGCTCCCATCTACAGGTATGGAGCTCTCGCTGTTACCTGCTCTGCTTTGCTGATCATTTTCATACATGTCGGCTAACATCAACATATTGAGTGTATTGATATGTATATGCTACCAGCTATAAACATTGCACTTCATTCATGCCCAGTCCTACAGAAATAGAGCTCTTATATATCAGAAAAATGTAGGTTTGGCTTAATTTGTAATGTCAACATGACAAAAGATACTCAGCTGGTGAAGTGGGTGTAGTGGAAATCTTACAAATAAAACTGGAGCTAAATGAGAATGATGTGGTCTCAGTGAAGTGTTCTTTCATCACCCTGCCTTAAAACATGCTAGGCAGGGATAAATATGGCAGTGTTTTTGACAACTTTTGCCGTGTTTTACACATATACATCCCATTGCAGTGTGTATGTTACAGCGCAGTGTGTACAGTTAATTAGTTAACTAATGCAGAGGACTTTTGCCGTGTTTTATACATATACATCCTGTTGCAGTGTGTCTGTTACAGCGTAGCATGTACAGCTAATTAGGTAACTAATGCAAGGTCACATGCATACTTTTCTAGTGGGTTTAAACAACAGCGGCAACACCACCAAGAGAAATTTCTAGGACTAACCAGTTTTATTTCTGAATGAGGTATCACGAAATCACAAAGTGCAACCAAAATACTCATAAGGCTTTGTAAGGATGACAAGTAAGTCGGGCTCTGAATGGGAACAACACTAAGGCAGTTTGCATAGCAACAGCCATCCTGCTGACTTTGCCCTCTGCTGTAAGCGTGTTTTACACAAAACTACACCAAAGCAGTAAAAACAAAAACAAACGGCAATATATCCCCAAAGCTCAGCTAACGCTAAGGTAAAAGACTTCGGGCAGGGTTGTGCGGCAGCCCCGGCACTTCCCCGGCGTGTGGCCCCGTCCCGTCCCCGCTAATACCGCGCCTTCGGCCGGACGGGGCCGGGCGCTGCTGCGAGCGTCGGGGCACC